GAGTGCGTCCGCCTCGCTGCGGGAGGGAGAGGAAGGCCCCGAAAGTCCGGTTTTAGCTGCAGTCTGCTCCGAAGCGGCGTCGGGCCTAGCAGCCGTTGAGCTAGAATGTTTGCTTTTCCTCGAGTTTGTCGCCATTCTTCTATTTTTCCAGGCGAGTCACTCAGGGGTCAAGTCCGGACGGACCAAATGTTCAAATCAGCAAGGATATTTAGTAGAGAACCATAAACAGAACAAGTCGGAGCGGGAGCCCACGCGACACACGACTTACACCTCCACCATCTTGCCCCGCCTCCTGCCAATCATGGCTAGGACTAACTCCGCCCACACACTGAAGTCTGCCAATCACAGTTAGGATTAACTCCGCCCACACACTGAAGTCTGCCAATCACAGTTAGGATTAACTCCGCCCACACAACAAGAAACTCCCCCTATGTACTGCAGAGACCCCTACTTGGATCTACCTGCCACATTTGCTTAGTTATTATTGGAATTTAAACATATAATAAATTCTGTTTATTTATTTATTTATTTAATAATCCCTTTACAATGTACTTGCATGTCTCCCACTTTTATCTTAGAGTGCTGCAGCACTCTCAGCACACATACTTCCCACAGCCTTGCTACCTGTTTCTCCAAACTGAGGTTGTTTAAAAGCTAGTTGACTACAACATGTAAGATATTAACAACACTTCTCCACAGAACTCCACTTCAGAATGGCCGTAACGTCTGTTTAACTCCAGAGAAGCAGCAGGACGAGATGTTAACCTCTGTTTGCTATTTTATTCTTCAGAAAGAAAATCCTATCCAGATGCACTATTTCCCCTATGAGGGGCGCGTTGATAAGATGTATTTTCCCTACTATGGCAAGAAAGCCCATGTGAGTATTTGTCAGTGATCAGATGATGTTATTTTTTGTGCAGTAGTTCTGATAGACATCTGTGTGGACCCCCGTCCCCAGGAGAACTACGTGCAGCCCCTGGTAGCTGTGAAGCTGATGCTCACCAAGGAGGACTACAACAAGGAGCTGACGGTGGAGTGCCGGGTGGAGGGCTCCAACCTGCGCAACAACGACGAGAGGGACAAGTTTCTGGGCCGTGTCACCTTCAGGATCAAGGTTGTGGAGTAAAGAGGGAAGATAGCCTGTGGAACCAGATAAGGTCGCCCGCGTTGGCTGGGGATTTGTGTTTAAAATAAAAAACAACAAAAAACAAAAGAATAATAATAATAGGAAAAATGAAGGAAGCGTCAAATACGTCACAAAGGCGTCGGTTTTCTGGATGCGGCTGCTCAGTGTCTCACAGATGAGTTAGGCTTCAGATAATTGAGCTCAGATGTTGCTTTGATGACCTTTCTGACCCTTCTTTCTGCCACGATTCTTCGCTGACATCCCCAGAACCAAACACAGGCTCTGGTTCTGACCCGACCCATCCATCTATCCCTGCATCCACCTGCTGCACTCTCTATCCTTTATCCATTTTAGTTCCTTTTCTTTTCTTTTCTTTTCTTTTCTTTTCTTTTCTTTTCTTTTCTAGCGTAGATGTGATTTGATGACTTATGGCCATTGCAGCTGAGCTCTGTGGAGCTGTTGTGTAACTGCTGATACTTTTTATTATTATATTATTATTATTATTAAACCTCCCTGCTGTTAGAATGAGCGTGTCCTTTTCGTCTCTCAAACCGTTTGAGGGACAGTAATATTATTACGAGGATTTCTATCTTGCTGTATAGTTGAGCTGAAAAAAGAGTAGAGTATTTATCTTCAGAATATTTCCATCTCAGCACACATCACAACGATTTCAAGACGTACCTTGATAATCAAGTATAGCCTATGTATCCCTGTATATGAAACGCCAACTACGAACTCCCTTTCAGCTATAAATACCTTGTGATCCTTACCATATTTAGGGAAATTTAGATAGATCTTTATGTTGTGGCCCACGAAGCTGCAACCCAGTRTTGTGCCGTGCGTCTCTCTGTTCGTCTGTCTGCATGTTGCGTCTGTCTGTCTGCCTGTCTTCCTGTTTTACTCCCCTCTGCTGAGACGCGTGGGTGAGCCCTCCAGGCCTGAGACGAGCCACCTCGCTCGGCGGTGGCTGAGGCGGCAGGTGGAGAAGCGTTGCAAAAATAAAAAGCATTCACTGTAACTATGTACTGTATATCTCTATGTGATCTGTATATCTATCTGGGTCTCAAAGATTGTTAGTTTACTCTCTTCTTCAGCCTGTTTATCTGATTGTCTGCCAATCTATTACTCTTCAGTGTATATATCTATATATAAACATACACACGTACAAACTCGCGCGCYCACACACACACACACACCATCATAATAATAACTTAATTCACATTGTATTTTTGTCACAAAACACAATGTCTGTGCATTGTAAAGAAATATAATTTAAGCAAAGATTTACAGAAGAGGATCTTATTCAAAGCTATGTTTACACAGTCTTAAAAGGAACCCACAGTTAAAACCTGTAACATCTCTTCAGGGTGCCTTAAGACCTGATGAAATAAAATGTGGAATAAAAGTGGTTTTGAAGAAAATAAATGTTCTGTTTTATTTTTTAATCTCTTGAATCTGTTGGTTTTGATGAAAAAAGTTCTTATTGGCAAATCAAAAAAAAAAAAAAAAACTAGAAGAACTGCTTTTTCTGCTGAGCTAAATTTAGCCCAATAAGCTAAAATGGTAAAACAAGAAAAGTACCTAAAATTAAAAAAACAGATGCTAAAGGCCAAAACTTGCAAAACAAGTGACAACATTAAAACAATTCCTGAGGTAGCAAAACAGTAGCTAAAAGTATCTAAATTGTAGCCTAAAGTAGCAAATGCCAAAGCTAAAATCAACAAAACAGTTGCTAAATTTAGCTGCAATGTAGCTAAAATGCTTAAGAGTAAAACAGTAGCTAAAAGCAAAAACATTAGCTAAAAGTAACAAGACAGTAGCTAAAAGTATCAAAAATGTGGCCTAAAGTAGCAAATGCCAAAGCTAAAATCAGCAAAACAGTTGCAAAATTTAGCTGCAATGTAGCTAAAATGCTGAAGATTAGAACTGTAATTAAAAGAAGCAAAATGGTAGCTAAAAGTAACAGGCTCACAAATGCATATTATCTTTTAACAACCAATTAAACTTTGTTAAAAGAGAAAGTTATGTTATGACATGAATAGAGATGTTTGTGAAACCTAAATTTCGAACAAGTTTGACAGAGCAGTGGGCTTCCATACAAGGAATAAATCTATGGAATGATCTGGAAAGTGATGTCAACAATGCCAGATCAATGTTTACGTTTAAGAGAATGATAAAAGTCATTTTGTTAAAGAAATATGAAACAATACAATGTGTATTCATACGTATTGTTGTTCGACAAGGATTTGAGGTTGTTTTTTAGTTTTTCTTGTTTGTAGATTATTATTGCTTGATTTTAATTTGTTTTTGAGGGGAAAGGGGTGCAGATAAGATTTTTTTTCTTCTTTCTTCTGCCTTAGCTATGAGTAGCAAACTCATAGCTAAAACTTGCAGAAGGTCACATTTCCATGTATTTGACTGGAGTGTAACCAAATTGGTTAACTGGGTCGGCCATCTTGAATGACGTTGAATCCTGAAGTTCATCAGTTGTACAAAGTTATGAAAGTTCATATTTATCCAGCTGTGGTTAATTTGAAAACAAAATGTTCTTTAAATCTTATACTGTATATCCTTACCTTGTACTTGAATACAGCTTGATGGTGTAGTACCAAACTACTGCCACATGAGGGAGCCAGAACCAAGAAATACCAGAGGCAGTGACCAGTGTATAGTGAGGAGTCTTCTACATTTTCCATCAAGTCATTATTTTGAAATTGTTCCATTGTTCTTAGTACATTTTTTCACAGACAGTTGAACTTCTGTTGCCCATCTGTACTTTAAAAAATATATTATAAATATAATAATAATTTTTTTGAATGGCACTCTTTAAGACGGGGAAACATCCTTCTGTCATGTGTAATTGGTGTAGTGCTGCTGAAACTATGGAACATGTTTTATTGGTTGCAGGATGTATATGAAGCACAGAACAGTGTTAAGCGTGGAAATGGGATGTGGTTGGGCAGTTGATTAGTGAAGAAGGGAGAGGAAAGATTTCTTTTTTTGTGAAGAATACAGGTCTCATTAAAAGAATCTAAGGAAACATTAAAATAAATGATGTGAAGTAAATTCCAAGAGGTGGCAGCAATGCAACAGTAATGGATGCAAGCTGCCATTAAAAACAGAAAAAGATTCTCGCTGGAACAGAACACACTCCATAGTATGGTTCTCAGCCTCCTCTCAGTCTCCCAGCTCGAGTTAAATTACACACAAAACTGTTGGTACCCCTCATTTAATGACAGAAAAAACCCACAATAGTCATAAAATWACTTGAATCTGACAAAAATAATAATAAATAATTTTTTATGAAAATGAACGAAAGTCAGACATTGCTTTTCAACCATCAACAGAATAAAAATAAATAAATTAAACTAATAAAACAGGCCTGCAAAGAAATGATGGGACTTTAACTTAATATTTTGTTGCACAATATTTTGAGTCAATCACTGCAATCAAACAATTCCTGTAACTGTSAGRAAGACTTCTGCTCCTCTCAGCTGGTATTTTGTTCCACTCCTCATGAGCAAACTGCTCCAGTTGTCTCAAGTTTTGAAGGGTTTCCAGACAGCATGTTTCAGCTCCTTCCAAAGTTGCTCAATGGAATTTAGGATCATAGAAGACCACTTCAGAATAGTTCAATGTTTTCCTCTGAGCCATTCTTGGCTGTTTTTAGCTGTTTTGGGTCATTATCCTGTTGAAGACCCATGAGCTGTGACTGAGGCCAAGCTTTCTCACACTGGGCAGCACATTTCTCTCTAGACTCCTTGATAGTCTTGAGATTTCATTGTACCCTGCACAGATTCAAGACCCCCCTGTGCCAGATTGCAGCAAAGCAGCCCCAGACCATAACAGACCTCCTCCATGTTTCACAGTAGGGACAGTGTTCTTCTCTTCATATGCTTCATTTTTCCCTCCGTGAACATAGAGCTGATGTGCAAAAAGTTCCATTTTTGTCTCCTCTGTCCAGAGGACATTGTCCCAGAAGCTTTGAAGCTTGTCAATATGTAGTTTGGCAAATTCCAGTATGACTTTTTTATAATTTGGTGTCCTCCTTGGTCYTCTCCCATTAAGTCCACTTTGGCTCAAACAGTGATGTATGGTGTGATCTGACACTGATGTTCCTTGAGCTTGAAGTTCACCTTTAATCTCTTTAGAAGTTTTTCAGGGCTCTTTTGTTACCATTCGTATTATCTGTCTCTTTGATTTGTCTTCATTTTTGTTCCTGTGGCCACATTCAGGGAGGTTGGCTACAGTCCCATGGATCTTACATTTCTGAATAATTTGTGCAGCTGCAGTCACAGAAACATCAAGCTGCTTAGAGATGGTCTTATAACCTTTGCCTTTCATATGCTTATAAACTTTACCTTTAACATGACTTGTCTGTAATTTTCTTTCTGATCTCCTGAGACAACTCWTTCCTTGGCTTCCTCTGGTCCATGTTGAGTGTGGTCCACACCATGTCACCAAACAGCACWGTGAGTATTCAGGCACAGTGACAAGACTGTAGACATCTGTGATGATAATTAGTGGACACACCTGCTTAACATGACCCTTTGGTCACATTATTTTCAGGGGTACCATCATTTCTGTCCAGGCCTGTTTCGTGAGTTTATTTATATTTTAATTCTGTTAAAGCCTGGCAGAAAAGCAATGTCTTGCTTTCAGTTGTTCATTTTAGTACTTATGTACTTACTTTTGTCAGATTCAAGTTATTTCTGTGACCATTGTGGGTTTTTCTTTCATTAAACAAAGGATACCAARAAATTTGTCCATCTGTGTAACTTTGAGTCTTTTACGTCCTCAGAAAATCTTTGGATGTTCTTCTGGTCTTCAGCTCTGCTCTGCCTGCCTAACCATTCATTTGTTTTAAAATTTTGTTTAACCTTCATTTATACAGGAAAATCTCTTGAGATTCATCGTCTCATTTACAATAGAGACCTGTTACATACATAAAAAAAAAAATATGGTCTACTTAACACTTCTAAACATCAGTACCATACATTATCTAAGAAAAGGCTATTCTGCCTCACTGCCTGCCTTCAACACTCCATGTCTGAAATACTCACATTGGGCCTCATGCAAGAACCGTTCGTACGCACAGATTTGTTCTTAAATTGTGCGTACGAGTGATTTAGGACAATTT